AGGAAAGACGATTGGTAAAAGACATGGCTATGGAAGAGTTGGGTCAGAGGAACTCGACTTTGCATCATGCTTATGATAAGTAAATGTGAGGTCTTCAACAGATCGTATTCGTACTGAAAGGTGCAAGCCTCTTGATAAGGAGTCTTGAGGCAAGAATACCTATCTACCTTAATGGTGAAAGATAATAAGAGATTCAGAAATTAACTACAAGTTTCAACAAGAAAAAAATGCGAGATGAAGAAGAGTACGAGGCGTCTAGTTAGTGAAGGTTAACAGTGTTTATAATTCAGGCAGAGGAATATAAGCTTTTTGAGTTATATTCAACACTAACAGAGGTATGTACAATTAGTCACACCCATCTCAATTATGCTCCATGGGAGCTAACAGAAATAGTTAAGAGAAGGACGAATATCAGGAATCAGCTAGGGTTAGAGTAACCCAAAGTGATGGTTGGATTGCTTGCGTTAGTCGACATTTTTGAAGGATATTGTAAATGTGCTAACAAAATCTCCTTGTGCGACACCCAGCTTGTACACTATGAAATAATATAGCTAGATATGAGTACTATAAAGATAGGCACTGGAAGCCTTGAAAGGATAAATGTTACGTTAATATGGCTCCTGCCCCTAGTAAAGAAAGAATGCTAGGCAACCCGAAAAGCCAATAGATGGAGAAAGGGGAGCTAAAAGCAAAGGAACGTCCTGTTAAAAAAAATCAGAAGAAAGTGATAGATAGAAATGTTAGCAGGAAATGGGAAGAGAGCTAATGAAGCATTAAAAGTAAGATGTGATACATGGATGACAACGGTAGGTCAAAAAGATGATAGAGTCTATAGTCAAGTGAAGGAAAAGACGAGAGGTGACATGCCTTGAGAGTCGAGACAACAAAGAAGTATAGGCCATAAAGTCAAATCCTCATTTCGAGAAATAAGTTCGCAACTCTGACACGATTATCAAAAGGAAAAGTTAGACCCCAGAGTAATAGAAACTAGTATGGATTGGTGAACAAGATAAGCTAAACATTAATTAGGGGCTAAGTGATTTGATAATAGTCAACATCATGAAAATTTCAAATTGTGTTCCGGCAATAATAGAATGGACCACAAAAGAAGATTCATGAGAAATTTAGAGAATGGTTATTTAGGTAGACGCTTTCCTAAAACAAGCAATATGAGTAAAGTTAAACTTAAGAAACTATGTGCGCCAATTACACTAGGTGTCACCATCATAAGTAAGGAATTTTATTATCCTTGGTATAGAAGAATTGTCGCAAGGCAAGTAAGGGTCATCGATAATGTGAGAAGACGCCAAAAATGAAGAGGTAAAACATCTACAGGTAGATCGTCGTAGTGCTAAATCTTAGTACTCCCCTAAAAGGGGGAATATGGAGTGATACGGCATTAAATCAGAATTAAGTAGTTCTAGTAATTATGGAATAGTAAAGGAGGAATGCGATAAAAAGGAGAAAGGAATAAGATTACACTTATCCAAATCCTGCAATTATGCTACGAGTTATGCAAGCACGACGTCAAGCAGAGGAAGTAAGGGTTCCTTCCCGGGATGTTACTAATAGATAAGGAGCCAGTGTGAGACGTAAGTTAGGACAAATGAAATAACCCAAGAAAGATTACGCAACAATATTAATAAGAGGACGGGCCAACGAATAGTTAGCAGTTGATTCAGGACGAGCCTAATTATGACTATACAAGACGATACAAACAAATCAACTAATTATGCAAGATAAACATAGTGAACCCCAACATGGAGAATACAGTCTCGTCGATATGACATCGGGACCCTTGAGAAATATTCAGATAGAAATTGTGGTAGTTAAAGGTATCATATGGATGTTATGGAAATAAATGAAAGTGCCACTGGGAAGGTAGTCAAAATATCAGTTCAGAAGCAACCCTACAAGCATAAGGGCACAGAGGTAAACAACTACGGATGATTATAGGCAAGGAAGGACATCAAAAAGGTCTGTAATAAGCTCATAGCTTTATGAGAGTCAAGAGTTCTCCCTAAGTACTATAACGAAAGACTAGCTGAGGAGATAAGGAAGAAGGCTTCAACCTAAGCACAACGACCCAAAGAGGAAATGGTCATGTAACAACAGTCTTGCTACAACATTGTAAGAACTCCAAAGGAAAGTGGCACCTACCGTGGCTAATGAACGGGAAGTAAAGTCAACGGTAGTATTCGAGATTATATGAGTTGTACAAATATTCCACTATGTGTGGGAACTAAGATAAGCTAAGTAGGTACACAACAAGGGACAAAAATACCAGGAAAAGCAATTACTTACGTTTGAAGAAAGCTGAAATGGAATGAAAGGAATTATTCGATTAATGATCAGCCGAGAAGACTCCGGTATAAGTTAAAAGAGAGAATTGAGTCCAGGTCATAGACAGAGGATTGAATTATTAGAAGATTGTATCCTGGATATTTCATAGCATCCATGAAGGGTTAAAGTAATAACTAATACCATGATCCGTAGATCGGAAGATAGCTCAAGCCTACATAAGGGTTAATCAAAGGGAAGAGGAAATTAAAAGAGTTATATCAACTAAGTAATCAGGAGTATGATTATTGGACCTAAAAAACTTATAGAAATCGTGATCAAGAATATTGTAGGATCACTCTTAATATCAAAGGTACAAGAGGGATAGTACAACACCTATAATCTATAATGGCTCTACAAGAAAGTCAGTTAGAAGAAGTACCAGCCTTATAAGAAGTCAGTATGAAACTCTCACAGAATTGTGTATGTACCACAGGTGCGAGTATATAATAGAGCTTCAAGTTATGGACGTGAATTACATCTAGGTGGAAGGGAGGTCAGGAAAGAGATAGAAGATATGATGCGAGATTTTAAGGTAAGTAAGGTAAAGGTGAACAACGTACGAGATACTCAAAGGCAGAAGATCGTGAATGGTCCATACTTCGGATAGAAGGCTATAAGCACGGGCATCCAATAACTGAGAATAATAGCGGCATTGTCAGTGGCATGTCTTCCAGCCTATGGTTTCTAAGTACTGAGAGATCTAGTTAAGAGAGTAGAGAAAACTTGGAGACGATGTGATGTCTCACTTGACGTTCCAGAATAACATAAGGGAATCTATGGTGCAAGAAAGTTGAAGGAAAGTTGCGAGTAGTATAAATGGATATGTCTAGGTCGCAAGCTAAAGTATGGTAGAGCGACAAAGTTTTAAGAAAACATGAATAAGGATGAGGAAAGGCAAGTGAAAAAGTGACGAGAATGGATAAGTCCTCGGGATTAAGTCCATGGAAACAAGAGAGATAATGGTTTATCTAAGTTATTGAAAGCTCAGTATAACCTGAATGAGCTCAAAGGAGTCTAAGATTAATAGCATTTAGAAGGAATAAAATGTTGACCTGGTAATAAAATGAGGGTATAATTGTGACAGATAAAGGATGACGTTTGGACCTTCGTTTGAATAATGATTTGAAAAAGAGAAGAGAAGGAGAAAAGATTTCGCTGGCGGCACGAAATTAGGATACCCCCATAAGGTGAATCACATAGAGACACTATGAAATACGATTATGGGAATCACTTCAAATATTCCTCAATGCAACGTAAGCCCTAGCGGCAATATATTACGTAAGAAGTTTCAAGTCTTCAAGTAGAGGATTGTAGATCAACATTGAGGTGAATCAACAATGGACAAATACAAGTTACAAAGTATGACATGAGATTAGGCCATGATTCTTAAGATGCAAGGTAATGAAGGATCATTAAAGGACTGAGATTTATACCTAAAGGATAGGCAACAAAATTAACTGGGAGCTTGGTAAGCATACCTCAGTAACGATAAATTGAAGTGAAAATTATGGTATAGTATAACCCATGTAGATGCAGTAAAGTCATACGAATGGATAACAAGATCTATGAAATAAGATATGGCCATATTTGCAAGTTCTACAAAGTGTCGATCGAAGAACTTCAGTATACCTATAGATGCCTAGAGAGGCATCCTATTATATTTACAAAGTAGGCCTAGAGATTGACTAAAAGATAAAAGGAAAAAGGAAAGATGAATCGCACAAACGCACTTACAAAGCCAGGGTCATACATGTTGCATGAAAGGAGGTAGCAATAGTTGCGAGATTAGAAAGATTTCGACCACAAGTCATGATATAAGCAAAAAGACTAAAGGTAGGAGTACCCCTAGACCTTGTATTTATTCACAGAGAAACTGCTTAAATAGCAAGGAGAGTATTAAGGTATTCACAAGAGCTATAAGTTATAAAAATGATAAAAGTATCAGTCAACATTCGAGGACGAATGTTCCAAAGGAGGGAATGATGTTACACCCTGCAATATTACGATGATGTTACATCCTGCAGTATTATATTACGATGATGTTACGCCCTGCAGTATTATATTATGATGATATTATGCTTTGTAGTATTAAATTAAGGCGATATTGCACCCTATAGTATTGTACGTTGAATTTTTCGTAAGGTAATTGACATCAGTCTAAGTAAAAGATTATTTGGAAATTACAAGGATGATGCTATTTCACAAATTATGAGTAAATTCGTGAAGGTGAAAGGGGAAGCAAGTCAAAGAAAATAAATTTTTGTCAAAGTTTGGCATTTTGGGATAAAATACGGTCCGAGCTAAAATACCCGATATTTATGGACTAGTGTCATACAAGATACTATATTATCATGCTAGTAAGGTGTATAAGGTGTGTTAAAAGAGAGTAATATTTTAACTAAGTTGAGATAATTCTTAATTATGCGGGTAATTGGTTAATTATTGGGTAATGGGGTATTACTCAATTAATTAAAGAATCAATTGGATAAAGATGAGAAAATCAACGTGGCAGCAAGCCACTCTTTGCCCAAATGACTCTTGATCAATTTTAGTTAGGTGGAAACTTAGCATATTAAGTGCAAGATACTCCATTTCCAAGATTTTCAATACAAATAATTTGATTCCTTAACAAACAACTTGATTTCTTGAAAACAGCCTAATTTTACTACAATCAGAAGTGGGGCGTTAGACATTCTCATCAAGTTTTCAATACATTTCATTCAAAAACAAACACTTCATTCCTTATATTTTATATACTAAAGTACTAAAATAAAAAACAAGAGCAATTCTTACAAGTTTGATGCAAGTTTGATTTCTTCTTAAAACAAATTCAAGACATGTCCAAACTGACGCTACAACTCCATCCAACAAGCTTTTAACAAAAGTCTCGCAACAAAGCAATTCCGACGAAATTTCTTAGCACATTAGCAATGCGAGATTTTGTGATTCTAAGAAAGTACGGTGCAACCTTTTCCAAGAATATCATACGGATTTTTTCCGACTCCAGGTATGTTAAAGCTATCCCTTCTTTTTTTGGCATGATCCATATGATACGAACGATACGTGTAAATGCACAAATTCCATGAATGACTCTATTCATAGAAGTATTAGAAATATCTATGTTCTTGAATTTCTATGTGTCATAATATTTTATCATTTGTTCATGGGTCTCAGAAAAATACGAAAGTTGAAAAGAGTTTACTTTATGATATTAATCAGAGGCATAATGGTCTTATGACGTACCGAGAGATTTTATTAACGTATTTCATATGCACTTCATGCATTTATACATGTACATTTACACATGACCAAGATGGCATTTTATACGCGTATTACTAATATATAGAAGAGCGAGAGAAGCAACTGAAGGTCGTCATGTCTGCTTGCTGCTAAAGGGTATTTAGGTATTTTCACATACCTTATATTTTCCCCTGCGCTTACACGTGCGCTGAACTTTGCTGAGTAAGCTGCATATGAAATGAGAATGCATCTACAGATACATGTCGATGTTTTCTACGAAATTTCATCGGATTTTACTCCCAGCATCTCTTTTCTTCTGTATCTTCTATGGAATTTTCTCCATGAGCTTTTGCTGAATTTCTCAGTAACAATACGAGAATTTCTCTATCGTTCTTCTTTACTCATTGGTATTTGATTAAAATTGGTAGGTGTTTAAATTAGGGATATCTGTTCCACCTCACAGACTGAAATACTTCTGAAATCTTCGATTTTCTGTCTCTGTCAGTGTAATTTCAAAGTTTTCTAGGGCCAAAAACTGAAATGGAATATCAATATTTTGTTTGTGGGTTTTTTTATAGGTTGTATCATTGTGAAGAGACGGTGTTTATAGCAAGAAAAAGCTACTTGTAGCTTAAACCCCAAAGTTAACTCCTTCTCACTGTATGACCTTCTTTGCCACCTCATTTGTATTCTTTATGATTATTTTTAGTTGAATACTGTATTTTGCTTTGTTAATCAAAATTTGGTTTTCTTAATGGATATTATGCGTAGTATGGTTGGGTTCATGTTGATTTTTGTTTGACCTAAACATGTGGTGCTGCAGTTGTTTACTCTCTTTGTCTTGTAAGTGTTTGATAAAATTCTTCTTTCAGCTTTATTATGTTTTTTCTTGTTCAAAACTTCAACTACACTTAAATTCTGTGCTAATGCCCTTATGACAATGGTGAAACGGCTACTTGAGATTGTATCTAATTGTCTTTAATACACTGCATAAGTGAAAATAATATATAGGCTTCAATTATGGAACCAATTACAATAGAAACAAATAAAGACGCGGACACACACGCACGCAAAAGAAGAAAAATAGAAACTGACTGCTTCTGATAAAGGAAATCATACAATCAGTGATATATTTAGTCAATTTTGAGAAAGAAGAGTTAGTATGAAGTCACTAGAAGGAAACTTTCACATAGCTTTTCTAAAACCAATAAAAGTATAGCCTATGTTGTTCTTTTTATAAGCTACAGGAATACATAAGTTTGAATAAACCTTTTAGGCAACTATATATAATAGTCCAGCGGTAAGGAAGTTCATGAAAAATTTGAAACTTCTTCACTTCAAGCCATTTTAGTTTTACTTTTTCCTAAAGGAATAGAAGTCAGATTTCATTGGAGGAACTATAATGTTGACATAGAAAATATTCAAATACAAGAGTTTCCCTTCTTCTGTTCAAGAAGGGATATAATCTGAGGCATTTTAGGTCAGAATCATTCTAAAAAACTTTGCATTACTTTAAGGAATCTGGATGATATGCTTAACTGCCCGCGGAATTAACTTCAATAAAATAAACGAATCAGTTCTTTAAGTTCGTTCTTAAATCCCATTTTGACAAAAATAAATAAAATAAAGGAATCGATAGTGAAGGACTTGATGCACATTCTTTTTTTCATGTCTGTTTGAATTGAATCTGAAAGTAGAGTGAAAGGAACCGTGATTTAAGTTTGTATATTTGCCTAACTTCAAAGGATTTTGGCCTATGAATTTCACTTATCATGCCAATCGTATTAAGATATGCCTTTTCTCCATATTACCAAAATTTCTTGAATATCTTTAACAAAGTTTTCAATTCTTTCTTGACGCAGGGAGTTCCAACACTCAAAAATGTAGTGATTACAAAATTCAAATCCAACTTTTACTAGATATTCTTATTGTTGCAAAAAATGTCAAGTGTATTTTACGTATATTTGCTGCCTCATATTTGTAATGTGGGATGGTTTGTTCTTGCAATTTTACAGTTACCAATATGCAGGTTATATTAATAAAATGGAACAAAGACTTAGTATTAGTGAAATTACACCACTAACTACAGAATGGACTTGCAAAGTCCAGGCTGTAGACAAATTTCGGCCACGAGATAGTAGAGATCAACGAGTTCATTTTCAGACAATAATTGTCCAGGATGTAAACGTAAGTCAAGTTACAACTATAGTTGTAACATAACTTATTTTCACTTGTACTCTTCCAATAATTACTTGGTCATCATTCTTAATAACATTGTAGGAGGAACAAATTTGTGTGATACTTTATGGTGACGATATTAGAAGATGTGATAACTTGTTCGAACTTTTTGAGACATATCTGATTTCAACTGCCAAGGTTAGAAATCCGCAGCCTTATTCACTACATATAAGCCAATTTGAGTGGATCGTTGACAGATTTACTATTGTGGAGTCTATCCAAAATAATAATGAAAAGGAGGTACCGTTACCTCCTCCGTCAAGACTGAGTATGATTTCGTTCGCCGACGTTGCACAACAGCCTTCCGGTGTTGAAGTTGGTATGTTTAAAATTACCCTATGCCTTATAATAGCTTAATTGCTTGAAACTCATGCAAGTATATTGGTTTTACGTACATTTGTTTTTTGTTTATAACAACAGATCTATTAGTTGTGGTGGAAAACTGTGGGGTAATGCAATACACTGCTGATCAGAGTAAGAGATTTCAAGAGGCCATAGTTATGGACAGAATGTGAGTCATTTAATCTTCTGTTACATAACAAAATCTCTAGCTCACACTTATAAAAGTACATGTACAGGAAGAAACCTCTCTTCTTCAATATATGGGAATACTTGGCAAGCAATGAAGGAGCTGAGTTACTGAGACAAGTGAGGCAACTACAAGAATATCCTATTATTCTCGCGAAGCGGATAGGTACCACAAAATATCAGGGTGGTAAGTTCATGCAGCTCCTGTTCCTACATATGGATTATTGTTTTGCATTGGTTATTAAAAAAAATTTCATGCACAGTTACCCGTTTCGCAACAAGATACAACTCAACAATCTTAATCAATCCCCTATATGTGCAAGCAACTGAATTACAGAATTGGTACAATACAAATTGTGCTTAAAATGTACCACATTATTATTTAGCTGTTATTTCTTTTGTGGAAAATAATTGTCTGACATTTCCTGTGCGAATTACAGGATAAATGAGAACAAACAAATGCTAATCGAATACACAATGAAGAGTTCAGCAGAGTCAGCTTCATCGCTTAATTTTGTAGCTGTTGACGATGAAATATTATCTGTTTCAGCTATTGCTACGCAAACCTCCACTGTGAGTTCACTAAATTACAAAATAAAATGTCGAGAACTGCCACACAATGTATCTTTTATACAATATGGATAACAATTCAATAAATTTTATTATGAGGATTCGTATATAAAAATTATTTTTAGTGTTATTTGTTCTTACGACTCTGTGTTTTGAAGATTTTTGGGTATTTGCATCAAAGCAGTGTGCTTCAATTCTTTTTTTTTGGCACAATCTTTTCAACTTTAGTGGTAATGCACCGCATTCAACAAACCTCTAAATCTAAGTTTTATATAATGAAGCTCTAGAATGCAGTCATTTTCAAGAATGATTGGGAAAATTGACTTATTGTGATGAACACTTTTGTTAGTTTTTGCACATTCACATACGTTAACATAATAGCAAATCTAATAGGGTCAGGAGAAGAGTTGGCTTTCATTAAAAGAATTACATTTTGTTGTTACTGGTATTCCACATGTGCCTTATTATCTTCTGATCTTCTTATTGACCTATTTTTCCCAAATAGTTTACATCATCATCGATTACGTTTTTCCTGTCTTCCCTTTGATGGACTGCTTGGTCAGTAAAGTAACAAATATTTAGCTATATACATGACCAATTTAGTCATTAGTGAACCCAAAGTCAACGAAGGTACTACTATGGAGAAATTGAAACTTTTGCTTTACATGAACGAGAAAATTAACCAAAGAATGAGACTTGTACGAGGAAGAACAACTTGCTCTATTCCCCGCCAATTCGTGACAAATTTAGCATTATGCTACGAAGGGATTAAGCTAATCCACTTGAACTTACTTAGGAATCTTGAAATGACTTAATTCGATAAAGAGATCGCTTCAAGAAATACTTGTTGTCCTTTGTCCTAATTTCAGGAAGCTCTCTGTGCTTACAATGTAAAGAAACATAACTCCAATTGGTGCAACAATAAGATTCTATGTGAAAATATGAATTATGTTATCTCTGATGTCTAGATATGGTAGTTGACCATATCCCGTTGTTATCTATTTTTGGATTACTGGTAGCACATTTTTCTCATTTACCAGTTATATTTTTCTGATGCATTTCTCTTCTTTCACCATTTCTACTATGGCATTCGCACCATTGCTGATTTTTCCTATGTTTCAGCCCTCCTTTGCGTACCTCACAATGGCATCTTGACCACTATTGGATCTTGTTATGCCTTTGATTACTAAATTTTTCTTTCTAAGTTTCTTCTTGGTAAAACACCAAAAGTTTACCCTGTTATCTGTTTTCTTAGGCAATCCTTATTTCAGTATTACATTTTTATCATTTCATTATATCTTCATATGTCATCTGAGGCTTAGTGGTAATGCACAACATTTGTAGCTTATGCACTCATAAGTTTTTCACAATAAAACTCTAGAATGCATGTTATTCCAAGACCAAAAGGGAAAATTGAGTTGCTGTGATTATTTTGTTAAAGTTGTGTATTATTAATAAGGTCATTGATATATAGTTTGTCAATTTTTAGTTTTGATGGTATGGTTACTACTCTTTGCTAGAGCGAACTTTCACTGAATAACAATAAGGTCACGTCTTTTATTACTAACAGTATGAAGTAGAATACGACAATATAATTAAATGCTAACAGTATGAAGTAACACAGGATAATAAGAATAACAACGACTTTAACAGAGACAAAATAATCATAGAAGGAATACATCTCAATACAGAGATAACAACCGGGGATCTCTCAGTATTCGGAGGATCTCTTAGTATCCTCAATATGTGCGCTGGGGATCTCTCGGTATCCCGAGGATCTCTTAGTATCCTCAATATATGTGATGGGGATCTCTCGGTATCCCAAGGATCTCTTAGTATCCTCAATATATGTGCTGGGGATCTCTCGGTATCCCGAAGATCTCTTAGTATCCTCAATATATGTGTTGGGGATCTCTCGGTATCCCAAGGATCTCTTAGTATCGTCAATATATGTGTTGGGGATCTCTAAGTATCCCGAGGATCTCTTAGTATCCTCAATATATGTGTTGGGGATCTCTCGGTATCCCGCACTACAGTCCAAATCAATATATGTGTAGGGGATCTCCCGGAATACAAATCTGTAGTCCTAAAGTAAACAGGCAGGGGGATCTCCCGGGATATCGTCTCGTAGTTCCAAAGTAAACACATAAGAGCAACACGAAGAATACTCAATTCAATTCGAATTTCCTACCAAGGTAAAACAGGTATTTCTAACCTAACATGCTGCACATAATTCAAATAAAGCAGTTTGAGCAAGTAAAGCAATTAAGTCAATTAGACATGCTTCCATAAGCTAACAGCAAGCTTAAATTGCAAGTAGTATAAACAGGAAAGGAAACACAACTAAAGTTACTTAATGAAAATAGGATTTGCAACAATTAGCACAAGTACGCACCCGTCACCTCACGTACAAGGCAATTCAAATATCAATAATACTAAATCCTAAGGGGAGTTTCCCCCACACAAGGTTAGGCAAGCCACTTACCTTGAACCGGCTCAAAATCAGCCCGAAACAACGTTCTTGCCACGAGTACTCGACTCCAACTGGCTCAAATCTATTCAATTGCATAATGTAAATATAACTTCATGTAATTGATTCCACAAATAAATTCTAAGCTAATACGTGAAATTAGATAAAATGACCAAAATGCCCCCCGATCCCACATCTCGGATTTGGGTAAAATTTACAAATTAGGGATCCTCACACTCTCACGAGTTCATATATATAGAAATTACTCGAATCCGACATCAAAACTCCAAAATTACGTCTAAGAACTTTTCCAATTTTTCCACCCCAAATTCGAATTTAAAGAATGAATTTAAGCATAGATTCATAGAAATTAATCAAAACCGAGTAAGAATTACTTACCCAAAACACCCAGATAAAAATCTCTCTCAAAATCGCAAATCCCGAGCTCCCAAATCAATTTCTAAGGTTTTGAAACTAACCCTCGATTTTGCCCCTTTTCTGACTAGTGAAACCGTATCTGCGGCTCTGGGACCGCACTTGTGGTCCCGCTTCTACGAAGACCAAGTCTCATCTGCGACATTTCATTAAAACTCAGCTTCCGCTTCTACGACTCACTTACCGCACCTGATGTCCCGTAGGTGTGTCAAATCCCTTGCACCTGTGGCTTCTGGGGCCTGGGCTAATCCCGCTTCTGCAGTCCCTTAGCTGCTTTCGCGGTGCCGCACCTGCGCTCCCATTCATGCAGGTGCGGTTATGATAGGTTCAGCCAACATCAAATTTTCCTAAGTCCAATTCAATTTCCGTTAAGCAATCGAAACTCACCCGAGGCCCCCGGGACCTCAACCAAACCTGCCAACCAATCCTAATATATCATTCTAACTTGTTCTAACCTTCTGAACTCTCAAAACAACATCAAAACACCAATTAAACATCGGATTTAAGCCCAAGAACTCCAAAAGCTCTCAAATTACGCTTTCGATCAAAAAGTCTACCAAACCTCGTCTGAATGACCGGAAATTTTGCTCACACGTCACATTCAACACTACAGAGCTACTCCAACTTTCGGAATTCCATTCCAACCGTAATATCAAAATCTCACTATCGAACCGAAAACTTCAAAAATTCAACTTTCGGCATTTCAAGCCTAAATAAGCTACGGACCTCCGAAACACAATCCGAACATGCCTCTAAGCCCAAAATCACCCAACGGAGCTAACAGAACCGACGGAATTCCATTCTAAGGCCATCTTCACACTGCTCTGACTACGGTCCAAATTCTAAAGCTTAAACTCTCATTTAGGGACTAAGTGTTCCAAAACTCTCTGAAACTCCAAATAAATCCTTCCGGCAACTCACAATAGTAGAAACAAACATAGTGAAAGTAGTTAATGGGGGATCAGGGCATTAATTCTTTAAACGACCAGCCGGGTCGTCACATGTACTTATTTATGTGCCTTACATACTCGGTACATTATTCATACTTACGTCCCTTTTGCCTGGAGACGTTGCATTTCATGCCCGCAGGTCCCGATAGACAGGTCGAGAGCCCTCCAAGTAGGCTATCAGCTCAGCAGAAAATGTTGGTGCACTCCACTTGCTTCGGAGTTACTTGTTTGGTGGGTATGATTTAGACATGTATTGATTGGTATGGCGGGACTCTATCCCAACCTCTATGAAAATTTCATATTCTTAGAGGCTTGTAGACAGATGTCAAGTACGTAAGATATTGTATGGCCTTGTCGGCCTATATTCGGGGAATGAGCGGTTATTTTGGGCTTGTAGGCCTGTATGTTTTATGTTTAAATTGGTATTACGTGTTGTATCCTACCTATTTTACGGTAGCCTCTCCGGCTTAGTTATTTATGATAGTGTGAGATGAAAAGATATGTTTTGTTGGTACTTGGTTGAGTAAGGTACCAGGTGCCCGTCGCAGTCCATCGATTTGGGTCGTGACACCCCTCAAATCCTCAATCAAACTCTCCAAAATCCCAATCACCCTTAATCACCACTAATTACATGATTAAACCACGGGAAATTACCATAAACACGAGTATTAGGGCTCAAATTACTTACCTCAACGAAAACCCCCTTGAATCCTTCTTCAAATTGCTCCTAAAAGCTTAGAAACCAGATAAAATGGTGAAGAATGAAGCAAAATTTTTGAATTCTATTTATACTTTCTGCCAAGCAAAAATACACCTACGGTACCAATTTTCGCATTTGCGGTCCGCACCTGCGGACAAATCTCCGCTTCTGCTGATTTTCATTAACCAGCCAAACTCCGCTTCTACGATCGCCTAACTGCACATGTGGTCACGCAGATGCAGGGACCAAGCCGCACATGCGGTTCCTCTATGCACCTGCGCCTCAAGACCGCTTCTGCGAAGCTCGCACCTGCAGTTCCCAATCCACAGGTGAAGAAACATCAACAACAGCAGCTTCAGCTGCACTTTCCAAATTCCAAACTCCCCGATGATCATCTGAATTCATCCCAAGGCCCTCGGGACCTCAACCAAGAATACCAACAAGTCACATATCAACATAAAAACTTAGTTGAACCTTCAGAACACTCAAAGCAACATCAAAACACCAAAACACCCTCGGATTCAAGCCTAAGAACTTCTAAACTTCCAAATTCTACAAACGATGCCGAAACTTATCAAACCTCATCCGAATGACCTCAAATTTTGCTCACATGTCACAAATGATACCACAAACCTACCCCAACTTCCAAAATTCCATTCCGAACTAGAAATCAAAATTTCTACTGCCGACCAACAATCGTCATTCCAATTTTGCAAATTCAAGCCTAATTCCACCACGGACCTCCAAATCATATTCCGGAAATGCTCCCAAGTCCAAAATCACCTAATGGAGCTAACCAACTCATAAAAATCCAAATCTTAGATCGAATACTAAAAGGTCAAATCTTGGTCAAACCTTTAAAGCTTCAAGCTGAGAATCATTCTTCCATATCTATTCCGATTAACCTGAAAACCAAAACTGATGATTTACATAAATCATAATACATCATATGAGGATAGTCATGCCCGAGAACTGGCGAGCGAAGTGCAAATTCTCAAAATGACCAGTCGCGCGGGTCGTTACATCCTCACCCACTTAAACATACGTTCGTCCTCGAACGTGTCCAGAGTTGTTCCAGAAGCCATCAAATCGTTGTATAATCTCACTATGCACATACGCGGGGGTGATACCACGTCACCTATCCCATATAGGTTTGATAACACAAGAACACACGAATCTAACCCCAAGGACCATACCTCCACATAACTCCGCTATAATGTGTGACCCAATCCAAACACTTGTTTGTATTATATACCTCGAGCCACCCTGCTCAAAATCCATAACCATTTGGAATTCAACATCAAGGGCCTAGAGTGCATTACCATAACCACAGAGAAGCAAATGACATAACACCACACAAAACCCGAAAGAACATTGCCAATACGCCATCCACCGAGCAATACCCAATACTCTTCCTGCTCAAATTTTGCTATAAGACCCCAATAAAGCCGCACCATATGTGCATATAACCAACAAATCATAACTCCTCATAACACAGAAGGGTAACTCGTAGATCACTCTAAACACGAATAAGCTCAATAACAATTGAACGGCACATCCCTCAACAATAGCAATTCGGAGTCAACAAATCTGACCCGGTATAGAACACACATCCATATTGGGTCTACCAATGAACCACAAATCAACTCTGGTCCCCCACAATAGGTAAATAACCCTCCGAAAGACTACAATGATTGAATCACAACACATACTGACCTCTAACTAACCTTGGCTACATTTGTACAGTCCACAACCACGAAACAATCTACTCACGAGAACTCTTAGTCTCCAAATCCATAGGACATACGAATCATCATCTCTGATCTCAACTCCACCGCCTGGATGTCCACACTCCTCCAATTACACAGTCACCCCACGAGGAATA